TATTTTACTCCAAGAGCTTTCCTGTATTGGTAGCGTTTTCCATTCTACAATCGACACGAAAGTTAACGAAGTCACCGCATGAGTGAACCTCACTTTAATTTATGGTCTTTTTTGGAGAACGTTGTACAGCTAAGACGCTTCGACGGAACACTAAAGATTATACGATTTGAAGATATCGCACAGGAAAACTGCACCCCTTGAAAAAAAATTACACCACCAACTCCCTCTGAAAGCTAACACACTACTGTTCTCACACTTACGGGCACATCGCTGGAAAAATTATTGGCACAACTCTAACCCTCTATGTCTCTCGCTGTATATCAAACTGTTGTCAAATACGCTCCAGGAATGCTATTATCTTTTTCCCCTCTCGACCATTCCTTGTCTCCTTTTTTTCTTCAAAAAACATTGACTTCATCTTAAATCAGCCTTCGATTTCTTTAATTTAGAAGAGAAGAATGGAGTGGATACGCAAAACAACATTTTAGGCACCCTTCAATGCAGGTTACATGAAACGCAAAGAAAAAAAAAACTACAAAAATTATCAAAAAACACAATTTAAGAAGTGTACGAAATACAAACATGAAGCTATGAAATAGGTAATATATGGCCTGAATGCATTTGTTCACCATGAAGAGCAACCAACAGGCCACCATTGCGGGGTATCACACCATCTAGCGATGGTTGCGAGGCGGACATTTGTTCTTATATCAGCTTCCAAATTCTTTGATTTAGAAGAAAAGAATGGAACGGATACGCAAAATAACATTTCAGGCACCTGTTAAGTTGAATTGATGAAAAGGGAAAAGGAAAGGGCGAAAAATAAGCCTTGTTTCTTGCTGATAAGTGGACTACCTTCACAAAACCAGCCGAACTGCCGCATAGGATAAATTAATATGATATTAAACACCTTCAGTGAAGATGCATGAGTGCAGAAAAAAGAGGAAGCCACCCCAAATTCGGTACGGCCTTGCAGGACGCCTTGGGCGGTGGAGAGGAAGCTTATCGGCGCAAACATTTAAAGGACTTTTGCCGCAGGTCAGGAAAGTGACAATGAGGCAGAATATTGCCAATGAAGTTCGCTCGCCTTTAGTCACGAGGCGTTACCTTTTATAGCTTTGACCTATCAATTCACAAAAGAGCGACTCTTATACCGTGTGTGTTCGTTTGCGTGGTCTCTTAGAACCACATGGCTTCTAGGAGCACGTCCTTCATTTCACCGGCCTAATAGCCAACCATTTTTGCTGTTCCACTGCCACTTATGTGGGCGTCGGCCAGTTGGACGGCCAATTTCAGCGACCTCGCACTGCACTTCAGCATTTTTCATCTGCTCACTACAAATAGTTTTGTAGTTCCCATTGACTATTCATTGTTCCCATTGACTATTTTTGAATTATTTTCTATATCGAAGCGATTTATCGGGATTGTACGCTGAGTAATGCTCCTGTTCTTTACCTGTTCCAGTGGTGATAATTCCTAGGAGCACGCATTGACCGACATTGTAGTGA